CTTTCTCTGTCAGAGAGCTCTGGTGCCAGAATAAACTACAAGTCCCAGAATTCCCTAGCACCAAGCCAAGGCAGTTAAAGCAGTCTCAAACTACTGTAGATTATTTCTGCAGTCTGTTTTTGACCAAAGATTACAGCATACCATACGAACCAACCAACCATTTCAGTCATTAGGATCCTGCATGTTGCTTCTCCCTTGTGTCCCTTTCTCAGTTCCAAATGATCCTCCACACCACTTTTACTTTTCTCAATAAAAATCTCCATGCCTTCCCTGAAGCATATGTTAAACCTCATCCCAACCCTAAAGTGCTGGCACTGTCAACTTCCTCTTTGAAACTCACTTCCTGCTACATGCGCCCTTTACTCTAACACAACTATGTACACACCTTTCCCTGCCCTGTTCTCATGTACACAAAGTGCTCTCTGTGCACTTTTCAGGCCTCTGGTCTCCCTCCATTAAACTCCTTCAGAGGTATTGCTGCTAATCCAGCTCCATCCGGTCCTCTTACCTTTACCCCACCCATAGCTTTGGTCCTCCATTCTCCTCCAAGAGCACAATGTCAGCTAGTCCATCTATCCCAGGGTGACTGGATATGCTCCTTTTCCAGGACATAGCCTCCATTTCAACCTTCTGTTCAGGAGGAATCCCAACATGTTCTCCAATTGGAGCATGGTGAAAAAGCATGCCTTTATATTTATATTAGTCTTTTATTTGGTCATGCTCTACATTTTTCTTGAATGCCCTACATTTTATGGTGCCTTGTCCTCCTTCGCAGTGAGGACATCTGGTCACTCTGATCTGTCCCCACCCAGTCTTAGCCCCCACTTTACGCAGTCAACAAACTCATTTTCAATGTGATTCACCAAACTTTTCCTTTATATTGCTGATGTTGTGTGCCTTTCAAGTATTTTCTGACTAAGGGCAAACCTAAGAGAGCCAGTGAAGTGTACTGGTTTGAGTGCTGGACTATGTTTATCGAGAACAGGGTTCAAATCCAGGCTCAGATATAAAACCCACTGGGTGACTTTGGGCAAGTCACACCCTCTCAGCCTCAGGGGAAGACAATAGCAAACCTCCTCTGAGCCAATCTTGCCAAGAAAGCCCCATGATAGGTTTGCCTTAATGTCACTGTAAATCAGAAACAAACTGAATGCACACAACAGCAAAAAAGATGGGGTTTTCTTGTCAACTTTCTTCAGATCAGTTTTGTCTTTGCCATGCTCTGAGGCTGAGAAAGTGTAGCTTGCCCAGGGTCACTCACTGGGTTTCCATAGCTGAGCTGGGATTCAAACCCTGGTCTCCAAGTATCCTAGTCCAACACTCAAACCACTACACCAGGCTGACACCCTTTCCTTTATAATTGTTGTGTGCCTTCTTCAAATTGTTCCTGGCTATCATGGGGTTTTCTTGGCAAGTTTCTCCAGAGGGGGGTTTGCTATGGCCATCCTGTGAGGCTGAGAGTGTGTGACTTGCCTACAGGGCACTCAATGGGTTTCCATTGGCTGAGTGAGGATTCAAAGGCTCCAGAGTCGTACTCAACCTTGTACTCCAGGCTGGCTCTTTAATCCCCCCCAATTATAAAATGAGGCTGGAAATTACAGCAGCCACCCAGGGCTTCTTTTAACATGAACTTCTGCCTTTCCTTTACACCACCCTCCAAGGCTGAGAGAGTGTGACTAACCCAAGGCCACCCAGTGGGGGTTTCAGGGCTGAGCTGGGATTCAAATAAGTCTAAACACACTTCAGAAATAATCTAGTCTGAGACCAATTTAACTGCCCTGTCTCAATACTAGGGAATCCTGTGAATTGTAGTTGCACTGTG